TTGAAGGCAGGAGAGATGGGGATGACAGAGGGTGAGACGATTGGGTAGCATCACCGACTCAATGGACATGAGTTTGAGAAATCTCTGGGAGTTGGTTTTGGACAGGGAAGCCTGGCGTTCTGCAGTCCATGGGGTTGCAGAGATCTGGACACAACTGAGTGAGTGAACTGAATTGAACTGAATAATGAGATTATTTCAGGGAAAACAAAATAAAACAAAACCTTACAATAAAAAAGAAAAATCAGTAAGAAATAAATATATCCATTTCCAACTTGGGTCAGAAGAAAGTACTAATCATTTTATCCCAAACAATTATTTTTCCCTTACTTCACTTACTCCTCTAAACTCTCCTCTGTCTTCAGGATCTGACCTAAGTTTGAGCATCCCTGTGAATCTATTCATGAACCCTTCAGTCTCTGTGGATTCCTCTCTCCCCCAAATTCCTCTCGTCTTCTACCATTTCTTCCAGAAAATTTAGCATTTGTTTCAAAGCCACAGTTTGTTTCCTTCTCAGAGTGAAACTAGAAATCAAGCTAAAATCTTATAAAATAGGCCACCTGGGAAGGTGACCGTTCTAAGGCAGAGCAAGTCAATAGCTGAAAAGACTTGAGAAAACCAGTGTCCTAGTCAAGATGCTACTCAGAAGGTAGAACCGAAACTCCCTTGTAACTGGAGAGATGAAACCCATTAAACTGAACTATAGCCCCGCTAAATGCTTCTCAACCGACATACCAATTATTTTTGTCTATCTTTGGTCCTGAACAGAGTGACTTTAGGTCTGCACTTTGCTTTCTTTATGACTAATCGCACAATCACATCAATTAGTTGAATAACTTTTTTGGGGCAGACTTTAAAACTCTCTAGGCTTTAATTTTCCTGTCTAGAAATTGATACATTGACCAGATAAATTCCGAGCTCATAATAGACCTGTGGATCCGCTTTGTTTTTCTCCCAGAATTATGCTTCAGACCCATGATTTCCTACTCAATCGGTTATCAACCTGAGTATCAAAAGGTATATTACATCTATCATTGTTTTGTGCTTCTTACTATGTGGTACTTATGCCACTCACATAATGTTGATATAGGCGAGATGAGTAAGACACCTGTGAGCTGGAGGATGGGGTGAGGGGAGGAAGGGACAGACTTAGGTGTTAACAGGACAGGTCATAGTGCTGTCTAGTGGGGAATCTGTTTTTATTTTGTTCAATGCCAAGGACAAAGTGACTCTACCAACTAAAGCGATTTTGGTGTTCCCTCAACTGCTCTGGTGTGTTACTTGTGGGAGGATATGCAGTCTGTAAAGGAAAAACAAGTCCTGGGTGCTTGGATTGTAGAGACATTTCCCAGATATTAATCAGTGTTCTGTGAAAGATGGATGTTTTTGGTCCAATAAATTTAGGAAATATTGTAAACTATGCCCATCACTATTGGAGATTTTCACTGTTGTTATGTTAAAGGTCAGAGAATTCTGGCAGTTGGGAAACTATTGTGGTCTGAAATTTCAAATATCCCAAAGCATATACTATGGAAAATTTTGGGTTAGAGAGTCAGAACATTTCAGTATCTCAAAAATATCAATAAAGCAAATGTTATCTGACAAACATACAATAATTAAAGATTGGTCTTTGATCAAATATGTAAGAAAAGACTAAGGATATGTCTTGGATATGGATTGAATGACATACTCAAATTCTGTAAAAGTTCTGAATAGTTTCTAAAAAAGACCACAGCTGGCACTTTATATTTTTTCCAGAAAGGTAGAGGAAGCATTTTCTGAAGCATAAAACCATTGCTTCCACAATCTGTTTGTGTCAAAATTACCCAGAGTGCCTTGGCCCCAATCCAGACCTACCAATTCTGAATCTCTTTGCTCAGGAATGGCATTTTTGACAAATTCTGTATTTGATTCCAATGCACAGTTAAGTTTGAAATCATTGGTCTAGACCATAGTTTAAATGACATAGTAATGTCATTTAATTGATAAATAGCCAAGCAGTTTGTTGAAGCCACTTGCAGGCAATTGAAATGATGTTTAAAATGGTGGTTGCATATTTAAATTAGCCTAAAATATTATTTAACTAATAATGTACCTGAAATAGTACATTGTTTAGAGAATATACCGGCAGTCTTCAGAGGAACAGCTTGAAAGTATCAGTGGCTTATACACATGTAATTAGAGTGCACCCATGAGGGCACTCTGATCACAAACATTGGCCCTGATAAACACATTCAGTTGAACTTTGTTAATTTATATATAATGGCAGAATTAGTTGTGACATTTTTTTCTTTCTCTAAAATTTTTTGATTATTTGGTATATGAAAGTGTGAAGTCACTCAGTCGTGTCCAACTCTGCGGCCCCGTGGACTATAGCCTTACCAGGCTCCTCCATCCATGGGATTTTCCAGGCAAGAATACTCTAGTGGGTTGCCATTTCCTTCTCCAGGAGATCTTCCCGACCCAGGGATTGAACCCGGGTCTCCTGCATTGTAGACAGACGCTTTACCGTCTGAACCACCAGGGAAGTAAGTATGTGGTTAATATGCTTCCCAGGTACATCTGTGCAGTAAAGAATCAGGTAAAGAGTCCTGCTAGTACAGGAGACCCAGGGTCCCCTGCAGTAGGAAATGGCAACCCACTCCAGTATTCTTGCCTGGAAAATGCCATGGACAGGGGAGTCTGGCAGGGCTACAGTCCATGGGGTTGTAGAGTTGGACATGACTGAGCTACTGAACACAGCAGCACATGAGGTTAATACAGATTTTGAAATAACTCGTGGAAGACAGAGTAGAAACCAAAATTGGTCATCTTTAACTTTACCCCTGCTTTCTTCATACCTATCCCCCATTATAACACATACAAATTCCTATGTAGAAGTAGTTTTAGAGTGATAAAGCCAAAGATCTTTTCTGGTTAGAAACACTTGAAATCATTCACCCTTGCCATGTGATTTTAAAAATATTATCTTATGGGAAGTTTAACAATGACTAATGCAAAAGCTTATTTCTGAGATGCCTTGGATAGGGAACAAAAAATACCTCTATAACACAGAGCAGTTTTATTCTCTTTCCCAAAGTTTCAAAACACTAGAGTGATTCCACCCTTGCACTTTAGAACCTGGTATTATCTGAGTTAATCTTTATGCTGAGTAGGTAAAGTAGCTGTTTGAATGTGTCTTTTAGCCCTTCTTGAAAGCATTACTAGCTGTGGTTTCAAGCCTCATAGTGAGGTCCTATGCCAGCACAGACATACTTTGGGGTTTGCACATAACCTGTTCACTGAAGTCTGAACCCAGTTCTGACTCTAGTGCCCATGATATTTCACTCCGCCACGACGGCTTCCAGAAATTAGTAAGATGTGACCAGTATCTCAATAGATTCTCCTTCCAGTTTGGAATGAAAGTGAAAGTGAAAGTGAAGTCACTCAGTCGTGTTCGACTCTTAGCGACCCCATGGACTGCAGCGTACCAGGCTCCTCCGTCTATGGGATTTTCCAGCCCAGAGCACTGGAGTGGGTTGCCATTGCCTTCTCTGCTTGGGATACAGGTATATAAACAGATGATTGCTGCAGAAAACTTAATGGAGAACTACAGAAGATGATGCTAACTCTACCTGGGCATGTCAGGGAATGTATCACATAGGAGGTGGTGATTGTAGTGTTTCAGTGAAATTTCACCAAGGAAGACAGGCAGAGGACACTCATATGTGTAGTAACATGTCCTCACTCATAGCTAAAAGATTAACTCTCTCACCGTTCTTGTATAGCCATTTTTGGTGTTACCAACCCCCCTACCCCATGCTCTTCTAACAATTTCCTGTGCCTATTTTAGCACTTATCCTATATAACAATTAGTGTCCATGCCTACTTTCTTTCTAGACTTAGAGGCCTTAACCAAAGATCTTTTTTTTATCTTTGTGTACCTCATAAAGACTAGGCATTAGTAAATCTTTGCTGAGCCAGTTAACTAATGAGAGTGAAAGTATTTTCTGCAATTTTCAACATTCTATAATTAATATATTTCTGAAGTTTTATTAAAATAAAAATATTTTATATATATAGTAATGGAAATAACTCAAGTGATCCAGTGACATTCATTTTATATACAAAACCATCCCTATATTTAGACTTTGTTTAAATCTAGATTCCACTAGCTTTGCTTTGAACAATTTCCTTTTCATTCATTCACTCACTCATTCACTTATAACAGATATTCAGTAAATATTCATTGAGCACCCAGCACATGTCAACCACTGTTCTAGATGCTAGACATCCAATGATGTCCAAATACACACATTGCCCCTGCTTTTGAGATAAAAGAGCTAGTGGGGACAAGATGTATTAATCAAATAGTCACAAAAATAAATGTATACTCTCAAATGTAAATGTCAGGAAGGAAAGATACATAGAATGGAAAACAAGACTTCAGGGTGAGACTAAGAAAATGCCATTTGAGTTGTGAGCTAAGCGATGAGTTAAGTGCCCAGAGGGCCAAACTGGGAAATGGGGAGGGATTTCTAGGTAGAGAAAATAGAATGGACATGGGCCCTGTGGGGGAGTGGAGCATGGCCTGTTCAAAGAACTGAAAGAGAAGATGAGAATGACTAACTACTAGACAGTGGTGATGACACTAATTGTGTAATCAGGGCAGCGTGTTCAGAAAAGAGGCTTTGAGGGGTAACTTGTTGAGAGATAAAGCTGGTTGGAGTTAGATATTAAGGCCTGAAAGACAATGTTAAGAAGCCTGGCCTTTGTTCTATGAGTAGTGGGAAACCACAGGGGAGAGAGAGTAGATGGGTAACATACTGAGAAATTCATTTTAGTTCTGTTGAGGGGGAGGGGGCTGGGGAAAAGTATAGTAAGAGAAGATGTAGGGGGATCTCGAAGGAAGCTATTGTGCTAAAATCCAAGTATGAGGTCTGGCTTTTAGCAAAGGTTGGAAGAAGTGCCCCATTTTAGGAATAATTCAAAGAAAAGTCATACATTAGAATGCAACTACTTGCCTAATCCTTTTAGAATTTTCTTCTCCAGCTTTTGCTCTTTGCTGCCGGCAGGCTCTTTGGCTGCGGATGGCTCTCCAGTGGCTGCGGGCTCTCTCTCGGCCTCTTCGGGGGCCTCCTCGCAGTCTCCGTCCTCATTGTCAGGTGGGTCCGTGTTCTCAGGCTGCTCCTTGACCATGATGGTACCCTCCTTCCCTGCAGCGGACCCGTATGTGTTAATGATGTCTTCCAGTTGTCGGCTCAACTCTTCAGAGATATCCTGCGCTCCCCGTTCCGGCTCTATACCTGCCGCCTGCTGTGGTGCTGGGTGTGGGGTTGAGCAATCCTGATTGTTTTGCTTCTCCAGGCCATTGTGACTGGACAGGGCTGAACCGGCCCCCGCCGGCGTTGATGGTGGCTCCCCCGACAGCTGCCCAGGCTGATTGCTCTCCATACTGGGAGTGGTATCTGGTAGTAAGCACAGCCAGGGTTGATGTAGTTAACCCAGTTACAGGCAAATGGTAAGGCTATCCCCACACTGGTACCTACTGATTACAGTTTCTAACACAGAACGAATGTACTTCCACAAAGCATTGATATTGCCATTAGTTGGGCAGGAACAGTGAGAAGCATTTCCAAATTAAGTCATACAGTTAGCATATGTTTGATTTTGGTCTTTAATTTCCAATAGTATCCCCTATTGTTGACATTAACAGTTAATTCACGGTATTATTTTTCATGGTCATATCTGTCATTTTGCTTAGAATAGCCAATGTGTGTTACCATTCTCATCTATAATTCTATGTAGATTTACAATAATTGGAAATACATTAATTTAATGTTTAATCTACATTTAATTTGATACCTTTCCCCCAAAGTTAAAACATTGAATATAAGAGCCACTGACCTTACTAAAATCACTCATAACAGTAACAGTCTAAACTCTAGTTTAGTGCATATTGATTAGTGTGAGCCGATTGTGTGTTAGTCACTCAGTCATGTCTGACTCTTTGTAGTCCAGTGGACTGTAGCCCGCCAGGCTCCTCTGTCCATGAAATTGTCCAGGCAAAAATCCTGGAGTGGGTTGCCGTTTCCTCTCCAGGGGGTCTTTTAGACCCAGGTATTGAACCTGGATTGAATCTGCATTGGGGCAGATTCTTTACCATCTGAGCCATCAGGGAAACCCATGAGCCCAGTAATATAGATCAATTATCATACTGGATACAGGAAATACTTGCTTTTCTGGTATTGTCCTTTTCCCAGATGCGCAACATATACTTATTAATCAGGCAAAAACACTTTTTTGAGGTTCAAACCAGCATCATTTTTGACATAAGACTGCATGAGGAAAGGTGTAGATTAACTAATAAACGTGTATGGAAACATGGTGATACTCATAATGACAATTCCTTGAATTTCTATACCATTTTGTTCCAATGAGGGCTTCCCTGCTCAGTTGGTAAAGAATCTGCCCTCAGTGCAGGAGACCTGGGTTTGATCCCTGGGTTGGGAGGATCCCCTGGAGAAGGAAATGGCAACCCATTCCAATATTCTTGCCTGGGAAATTCCCATGGACTGAGAAGCCTGGCAGGCTTCCATGGGATCACAAAGAGTCAGATGCGACTGAGCAAACATTCTGTCTTTTGTTCCAATATAAAAACTGACTTTCTTTTAGGGGAAAAATAAACCGAGTGTATTATGACTTTCTCATCTCAATCAAGAAGCTCTAGGATAACAATAATTTTTAAGAAGTAGAAATGTCTAAAAAGCAGGGAGGGAATGAACCAGGGGAATAATCCAAGTATAGTATAATAATCCCAAGTAATCCCTTTGGAAACAGGGAGTGAGGGATGGGCTGAATCAGGCTTTCTAGGGTGGCTGGATATCACCATTTCTAGAGTTGCAATATGTTTGGCTTCGGCCTTTAAGTTATGGTACATTTTACTTGTGAATAATAATTAATGGTGGTGCTGCTAATTAGCAGCATGAAATTACGACAGGGTCCTAATAATCCACAGGTTATGCTGTTGTGTTGGCATGAAAGTGAAAACAAAAACACACTGCTCCATGCACTCTACAGCTTCCTCCTCCCCTCCTCAGGGCAGGTGACGTCAAATGCTCAAATGCCAATAAGAACAGAAAATTCAGCGTCCAGACATTGCCACCCACCTGTGGCCCTCACCAAGTACTCACTAACTTTGAAGGAAGGACTGTTTTCTCTCACTTAGTTTAATTCACCATCTTTCTTATCAAATGATGCAGTAAACAGCTTCATTGTCTTCATCACTGGGATTATTTATCCTGAGCCCTGCTTGTTGGGCACAGTCATCTATATATAACTTACGCTTCCCCTGAACTTGGACAAGGATCCATGGCACCTGCTGTCCAGCCAGTAGTTATTTTAAGCTCTTCTAAAAGAAGCCCTGGCCTTTAACACCTTTAACACCCTGGCCTTTAGAACTCAAAGGAAGAGAATACTTTTTAAATCAAATTGAAAACAGTAAACATTGATTGATTTAAACCCGTATGTGGGTTTTAAAGTGTTAGGGGGGCTTCTGAGGATGAAATAAAATCTAAAGTAAACCAGACTTCAAAGCAATGAGTTTAAAACTAGCTGTCCATAGGAGTTTTAGTGTGGTTAGTCTGAATACAAATGTTTTGTTTGTATTTGATTTATTCGTCATTCATCAGAGGCCATAATCATTGATGTTTTTTACATTAAGTCCATGGATCTCCTTTAAACTCATGCTCCACATTTACTTTAAAACAGAGTAACTGAGTCACTGTAAACCACCAGACTGCTCAGTTCCTAAAAGTAGCCTCAACAAGTCCCCAAAAGGACAAAAACAAAAAAGTAAAAAAACTCTTGTTATTTGTAAATTGTCTGTTTCTATATCAATTAGTTTTACAGCAAGAAATTATTTCTAAGTTTTATCTTCTATAAACTTTATTGCCCATCTGTTGCCTCCTCTGAGAGAGAATTTTATTTTTCACTTGTCCTGGCAGTCCCAGCAGATGACCACACTCACACACATCCCTTCCTGAGCAACACATTTTACTTATAAATAAAACAATGGAAAGTTCTTCAACAGTTCACTGGCAGTCTCAAAGTTGCAAGTTTCGCACACCACAAACCGCACCCTACATCTCTCAGGGCTCGGGGGAGTGTTTGTCATACTTACCAGAAGGCAAGGCGCTAAGCAGAATAAGAAAGGAGAGGCAAGAGGCAGCAAAAGCTAGTCAGAGCAGCAGCAGCAGCAGGAGACCGGTGTGCGGCTGCGCTCTTACAAGGGAGAGAGAAACCACACACTCACACACACACACACACACACACACACACACACACGCACGCACGCATGCAGTGGGAGAGCAGAGCAGGGGTGGTGGGGGGATGGGGGGAGAAAGAACATCCTGTGACACAGCAAGAGAGAAATACACTCAGGCTTCAGTAGCCGTCTCCTGGGCAAATGTAGGAAAAAGAAGCAGCTGATAGATCTTAGCTGATAGATCTCCTTGTTTTGTCCTTTAAAAACTTTAAACTCTCAGTACACATGCCCATCGCTAGTGCAGTTTTATACTATGATCGTTCTTTGGGACAGAGACCAACTTTTCTTATTTCTTAGTTTATTTCCAGTGTAGCCTGGTGATTCATCTTTTCTTCCCCCTCCTTCATATGCTAGCTTAATTAGTGTCAAGTTTCTAATAGGAAACGAGGAAAAAGAGGAACAATGGCATAACAGAAAGAGGTAGTAGAAGCACTTTAATTCTGATGTCATCATTTGGTTTCTTTATAAAATTTGAATATAAATTTAGATGGCCCTTTGGCAGTGGGTTTAGTGCCATCTTCATGTACATGCTAGTTAGTGTGACCTCCGACCCCATGTCTTACTCAGGTAACTGCCTTTATTCAAATAAGCCCCAGGGAAACAGTTGCTTTTTCTTCTTTAGTTGCAGATTTTCCACAGTGACATTTCCAAGTCTTTCCTCCCTTCTCAAATCCTGAACCTGTTCCTTAATCCTCAGAAAAAGAACCTCCTCTTCACTGACCATATAACGCTTCTTTTTCTTAACCTACATCCATTCCCCTTTTCTCCTGTTTCTGGAAAATATGTTTCCACATTTTTCCACATTGGATTCCTCCATCAGAGCTTCTCCTCTTGAGACTGAGTGGCATACTGATACCCACTGTGTTAGGCAGGATCGTGCTGCCAGAAAGGCTTCCACACCCTAACCTCAGGAACATGTGAATATGCTGCTTTACATGGTGAAGGAGACTTTGCAGATGTGATCCACTTAAAGATCTTGAAATAGAGAGATTATCCACAATTACTGGATGGTTCTCATGTAATCACAAGGATCCTTAAAAATGAAAGAGGGAGGCAGGAGGGTCCAGGTCAGAAAAGTAGACTTGGTGATCTAAGCAGAGGTCAGAGTGATGGAAGGACCCAAGCCAAGGAATGTGAGGAGTCTCGAGAGGCTGGGAAAGACAAGGAAGCAGATGCTTCTCACAGTCCTGCAGAAGGGATGCAATTCTGTTGACACCTGCTTTCAGCCCAGTGAAACTCCTTTTGGATTTCTGACCTCTAGAACTATAAAAGAAGGTATTTGTGTTGTTTATAAGCCACTAGATTTGTGGTAACTTGTTTATGGCAGCAAAAGGAAACTAAAGCATCCTACTCCCAAACTTTCTCACCCCTTTATCTGAGCTCAGGGGAAGCATGGATTATGTATAGATGGGTACCTAGTGAGTGGAGGGCAGGATAAAGAGATCCCAGAGGAAGACAATGATGCTGTTTACTGCATCATTTGATAATAAAATTGGTGAATTAAAATGAGTGAGAGAAAAAAGTACTTCCTTTGAAGTTAATGAGTGCTTGGTGAGGGCCATAGTGAGTGATACTTTGTATTGGATTGTAGGAAATCATTCCAGAGCAGTCTCTCGATAAATACAAACAATATTTCGTCAGTGCTTCTCAAATTTAAGTAATGTACATATTCTCTTAACAGAACAACTTAATGTTGAAATTAAAGGAAGAAAAATAACTCACCATGACTGAAACAAGTTATTGCATTATTACTTCTACCAATATATACTGATATAAAAATAGGTATAACCTTCTGATATTTAATTATTATATGATAGAATTAAAAAATATTACTTCAAAAACCATACAAAAACAATAAATACAATTCATACTAACAACATTACTTTCATGTGACAGATAATATTTTGCTGAACCTGAATTGTTACTTGCAACATGAATACTGGTCCTTTTGAGTTCATGGTATTTTCTACAATGTGCTTTGTAAAATGACTCAACTTTATCAACTCTTGGTCCATTTAGATTACTACATAAGTTTCATTCATATGACCTGCCATAATTTCAATTGGACTTCCTTTGATACGAATACATCATTTACTGCTCTTTCTCATGTTCCTGCAATTATTAAAAT